TCAATCAGTTGAAACTGACACAGATGCTAGAATTAGCAAATCAGGATAGTAAAATATTTTTTATGTGTGTATTCCGTATGTTCATAAGTCGGGATATGGAAGATATAAGAAAGACCCAAATTAAAGTTCTAGAGGTCTTTGATTCATTAATATCTAAGATTAAAAATGCACTCCATGGGATTGATGGTAGATTAGATATTGCAGAAGAACAGATCAGTTAACTTTAAAACACTAATTGAACCAAATAGTGTGAAACACAAAGATAAAAAAAAAAACAAACCTTTTAAAAGTGAAAAAGGAATCCATAAATAGGGACAACTCCAAATGGCCTAATATACACTTAATTTTAGTCAACAAAGGGGAGCACATAGTGGGGAAGAAAAAAAATTTTGTTTTTAAGCGTTAATGGTTGAAAAACTTCTATATTTAATAGAAACTATAAACTCACAGATCCAAGAAGCCAAATGAACCCCAAGTATAAGAAACCCAAAGAAAGCTACTTGCAAAGAACTTTATAAGGAGTTATCCAACACTGGTGATAAAGAGAAAAATCTCAAATGGAGTCAGAACAAAAAAGACACACTATATTCAAAGACACGAAGGTAGGAAATACCATAGTTTTGGATTGTTTTGTTAGAAACACTAAATGCAAGAGAAGACAGTGGAACAAACCTGTCTTTCAAAGATGAGGGCAAAATGAAAACTTTATTAATCTGTAAATTGGAAATAATCACTGAAGGAGCCACATTACAAGAAATATTAAAAGAAGTATTTCTGACAGAAGAAAAATGATGCCAGATGGAAATAAATCTGTACAGATGAAGAGCACTGGATATTGTGACTATATGTTTGGAAGGCAGTTTGCATGAAAAAAAAGTCTCCTAATTCCCTCCTCCCATAAAAATGGTGTGAAGAAAGTACATAGCGAGGCCACAGTCTCTAGCACGCACACCCAAGATTAGTGTTTGTTCTAGCAGAAGCCCAAGAAAGTTTATAAATCCTGATTCATATTGTCTTGCCATATTAGAGACTCATCCAGAAAAACAAGAGTGAGGACTCAGACAATAAAATTATAAATGAAAGAGAAGTCACAACTGACACCACAGAAATAAGAGGCTCGTAAGGGACTACTACTATAAGCAACTGCATGCCAATAAAATGGACAACCTGGAAGAAATGGACAAATTCTTAGAAAAGTACCACTGTCTAAGACTGAACCAGTGAGAAATAAAAATGTGAACCAACCAATCACAAGTAATGAAACTGTGATTAAAGACCTTTCAACAAAGTCCAAGATCAGATGGCATCATAGGCAAATTTTGTTAAAAATTTAGAGAGGCACTACACGTATCTTCTCAAATTCTTTCTAAAATTCACAGAGGAAGGAACACTGGACAAACTCATTCTACGAGTCTAGAGTTACTCTGATACCAAAAGCTGACAAAGATTTAGCAAAAAGAAAATTATAGGCCATTATCACTGATGAACACAGGCACAGAAATCCTCAACAAAATATTAGTAAACAGAATCCAACGACACATTAAAAGGATCATACATCATGATCCAATGGGATTTATCCCAGGGATGCAAGGATTCTTTTATATATGCATATCAGTCAATGTGACAAACCATATTAGTAAACTGATGAATAAAAATCATAGTATCATCTCAATAGATGTGAAAAAACTTTTGTCAAAATTCAAGACCCATTTTTTTTATAAAACTCTCCAGAAAGTGGGTAAAGAGTGGGTACCTACTGCAACATAATAGAGGCCCTACATGATGGATACACTGCAAACATCATTCTCAATGGTGAAAAATCAAAAGTGTTTCCTCTAAGATTACAAGGATGTCCACTCTTAACACCATAATTCATTATACTTTTGGAAATTCTAGACATGGCAATCACAGAACAAAAAGAAATAAAAGGAGTCCAAATTGGAAAGAAGTAAAGCTGTCACTGTTTACAGATGACATAATATTACACATAGAAAATCCTGAAGATGGTATCAGAAAACTACTAGAGCTCATCAATGAATCTGGTAAAGTAGCAGAATATAAAATTAATGCAAAGAAATGTCTTGCATTTCTATCCACTAACAATAAGAGATAAGAAACAGAAATTAAGGAAACAATTCCATTTACCATCACAATGAAATGAATAAAATATCTCAGAATAAACCTACTGAAGGAGGCAAAAGACATGTACTTAGAAAACTATAAGATGCCAGTGAAAGAAATCAAAGATGACACATACACCCTGTATGTGTGATGGTGATACACCCTGTTTTTGGATTGGAAGAGTCAATCATGTAAAAATGACTGTCCTACCCAAAGCAATCTACTGATTCTCTGCAATATCTGTCAAATTGCCAATGACATTTTTCATTCAATTAGAGCAAAAATATTGTAACATTTGTATGGAAACACAGAAGACAGTGAATAGACAAAGCAGTCTTGAGAAAGAAAAATGAAAGGAACTGGAGGAATCAGATGTCCTGATTTCAGACTATACTACAAAGCCATGGTAATCAAGACAGTATGGCACTGGCACAACAAGAAGAAATATAGATGAGTGAAGTAGAATAGAAAGCCCAGAGATAAACCCACACACTTATGGTGACCTAGTCTATGACAAGGGAGGGAAGGATATACAATGAAGAAAAGAAAGTCTCTTCAATAAGTGATGCTGGGAAAACTGGACAGCTACATGTAAAAGAATGAAATTAGAACACTCCCTAACACCATACACCAAAATAAACTCAAAATAGACTAAAAAACATTAAAAAAAAAAACAGGATATTATTAAAACTCTTAAAGAGAAACACAGAATATTCTTTGGTATAAATCACAGCAAGCTGATTTTTAATCCACCTCCTAGAGTAATAAAAACAGTAATAAATGAGAACTAATTTAATTTAAAAGCTTTTGCACAGCAAAAGAAGTCATAACAAAACAAAATCAACTCTCAAAATGGCAGAAAATATTTGCAATTATTTGGTAACCGTGGGGAAAAGGAGAGGGGGAGGGTCACCACAGGAGTTGTTTAGTCCCTAAGTCTTGTCTGACTCTTTTGTGACCCCATGGACTATAGCCCACCAGGATCCTTGATCAATGGGATTTTCCAGGCAAGACTACTAGAGTGGTTTGCCATTTCCTTCTCCAGGGGATCTTCCAGACCAAGGGACTGAACCCACATCTCCTGCATTGCAAGTGAATTCTTTACCACTGAGCTACCTGGGAAGCCCCCACTATGTGGGAAGAGGAATTAAAAATGGGATTATGTGAAATTATGTGTGAAACTTTTGAAAAGCGTAAAGTACTAAAAAAATTAAAGAAACCATTGCCATTGCATAACCAAGGTAAAAACAAATAAAATGAAGACAAAACAAACAAAAAATCTGCTCTTGTGGAAGAGAGTGAGGGTATTTTTAATATAGTCAGAGGACAGACAGGTCCTACTTTTTAAAGATTTCACTCTAGAGCATCCCATGGTAGCGAACAAAATGAACTCATCTTTTCTGGGAAGAGAAATCCCTGTAATGTCTAGAGTTTTGTTCTCCCAAATTGACCCCCACCCTCTTTTTCAGTATTTTTCAGCATTCTTAGAAGTTCTCCCATTCCCCAAAACACAAATGTGCAAATAATTTGTTTTTTAAAAGAGGTTAATTGTGATATTGTGAAAACCTTTTATGAATTTTTTTAGATAGAATATGTAACTTGCTATAATTATGTTTATTAAAAAACTGAAGTATATGGAAAAATAAAACATAAAGATTAAAATATGGTATGAGTCCAGTAGTTGAAACAGTCAAAATCCTTGACATACTGAATGAAGCATTTTTCCTTAAAAGTAATCTTTACACAGTGGATTTTAGGTAGCTTTATAGAAACATTCTTCCTTGATTCCATTCGCTGTTTTATAAGGTGATGTATCAAGTACCACAAAGGTTATTCACTTCTCAATTCACCATGTAATTAGACCTTTGTAATTAGACTCATTGTCCTTGTTGTTCTACTGAAATGTAAAGAATGAAACATGAAGCTTTAAAAGCATTATTTCCCTTCATCTGCAATATGTAAGTAATATGAAGATGAAATTAGTATATTGAGACAACTAGATGGCCACTAGGGACTAAACACAATGCTCCAAATCATATAAAAATAGTTTCTTTATTATGTGTTTCACTTTCTGTGACAGGAGTATCGGTATCTGTTGGGTACTGGACATTTGCCAGACATACCACAGGCTTATTCTTCATGGTCAGTGTCTCGTTTAATCTTCACCTCAACCTAATAAGTATTGTAAACCCATTTTACAGGCAATGAAAGTAATCCTTAGAAAAACTGAACAGCCCATTCAAGGCCCTGAGACTGACAGGTTCCAGGACTGTGATATTGAAAGGTCACGCTGACTGCCCCACGTTGGGCGCCAGATGTTAGAAAACGCCGCGGGAAGAAAGAGCCACCTCTAAGGACCGTTGATGAAGGCCTTTATTGGGCGGTCGCTCTCGGGCAGAACTCCCAGGGGCGTGTGAGTGAAGAGACAAGGGGAGTCTGCAACCTGCGGGAAGGGGGGCGGCACCTATATACCCTGGCGGATACGGAAGCGGCGGGACCTTTTCGAATACGCTTGGAGTCAGGCTCTAGGGTGCTGATTGGCCTTTTGTCCCGTGTCGGTTTTTCTTGATTGGCCGGAGTCTTGGCACCTTCGCGTCCATCAGTCTGCCTGGCAACGGGCTGCTGATTGGTGGATGTCTGTCCCTGGTACTTATCTGGGACCTTTTGGCGGGGGCAGTCAGCGTGACCTTTCAGATAGGAACTCAGGTCTGTCTAAAATTCTCATCCTTTCTTCAAGGCCACATCAGCAACCTCTGCTTCTCAAATTGGACGTCTTGAAAAAAATCCTGGTTTTCCCTCTTGACCATCCTGTCTTTTTGGTCTGATTTCCACTTTCTGCATAGCTGATAGAATTTATCTTTTTGGTGGTTTTCTTTCAGGAATTACAGTTTGAAAGGCTGACCCGAGAACTGGAGGCAGAACGCCAGATCGTCGCCAGCCAACTGGAGCGATGCAAGCTTGGATCGGAGACGGGCAGTATGAGCAGCGTCAGGTACTGGGCACCCTGCTCCTTGGGGCTGGGCTCTGCGCTGCCAGGGGAAGGGCATTGTAGTGTTTATCTTCTCCTTACAAACGTGGCAGTGGCATTAGAACACTCAGTCAGGTGTTGGAAAGGAATCGTGACCGACCTGGTTTAAGATGTTCAAAAGGTGTCCGAGGTGATTTGTGCTTGAATCTCTTTTCACAAAATGAACACTTGCTCTGAATGCAAATTGTGTGTCGTTTTACACAAAAAGGATGCTTTGCATTTAGTGAGTTTGCTGGAAATGAGGAGATGCTATGTCACAGTCTCTCAGTTTGGTTCTTTTTTTCTAAATGATCAAGAGTTGCAGGTTCTGGAAATGAAAGAGAGAACGTTTTGATCTAACGTGCATTGTTTGCTAATATACAATGATGCATTATAAAATTGCTCCTCAAACATCAACCACACATGCAATTTCTGTGTGTGAAAACATTTCGTAGATAGAATGATTATTTGATTACAGGTTGGTATGAGATTATGAAATATTTAGAAACAAAACTTAGCCACTTGACCACAAAATAAATTATCTGCCTAAGGACCATGTTTCCATATTTAAAAGTAGAACTGTCTGTGTGTGAAAGAAACATAAATAAAGCTCTATAAGATGAATTTCATTTCTAAAAATGCATTGTACTTTCTTGTCATTTTGTTCTATATTGTGGTTTTGACATGCTACATTTTCAGGGAGGTGTCTTCTCTCTTAAGAATCCTGCTATACTCTTTGGCCTCCTGTTCAACTGCATTGTTGGTTACATAACTTCATCCACAGTCCATTATTGAGAACTAGTCACATGGCCCCTTCGTAGATGGAAATGGGCAGGGATTCCTGGTCTTGGGGTCTTTGGCCACTCTGCCCAGGAAGCAGAAACATGAATTTAAGAGTCTTAACCAACTATGGCCACAAGGAACGAAAACATCCTTGAATCCACTGCTGTAAAATATTCTGTCACTGTAAGGTTAATTTGTAGTTGGAATGTTTCTTGTTAGAGCCACCTGCCATTAGTCTTTTAACATTGTCCTTTTCTTTGTTCAACAGTGATTACCTTTCAGAGAAAATCATTGCATCATTTGTGGTTAGGCTAAATTACTCTGAAATATCCTTTTCAATCATATTTGGGGTGTGTGAAATCATATCTGCTTTGGCATCTGAGTGCCTAAGCTATGTAGAGCTGCAGATAGAGATCCATTGTGATCTCTTCAACTCATCACAGACTTGTCTGAACATCCAAATTAACTAAAGCAGGATGGACAGAAAAAGGAGAAGTAATTTGTGTCCACTTGAAATTGTTTTCAGAAGGTTGACCGGTTGAAGATGTTGAGGTTAAAATGTGGAGAAAAATAATATTTGTAAGTGTGTATTTGATTTAATACAGGGGGTTTTACATATCAGAGGAGCTTTCTTTAATGGTGAACATCACCTGAGAAGCTAAGTCTGTCAGGATTTTTAGGTCCGTAAACACTGTCAAATTGACATCTGCATCTTCATTTGTTTTGAAACCCATTGTTTCACTATTGTTCAGATCACCTTTTCCATTCATTTCAGTTCTGTTCAGTTGCTCAGTCGTGTCCAACTCTTTGCAACCCCATGGACTGCAGCACGCCAGGCCTCCCTGTCCATCACCAATTCCCAGAATTTACTCAAATTCATGTCCATCAAGTCAGTGATGCCATCCAACCATCTCATCCTCTGTTGTCCCCTTTTCCTCCCACCTTCAATCTTTCCCAGCATCAGAGTCTTTTCCAATGAGTCAGTTCTTTACATCAGGTGGCCAAAGTATTGGAGTTTCAGCTTCAGCATCAGTCCTTCCCATGAACATTCAAGACTCCTTTCCTTTAGGACTGACTATTTGGATCACCTTGCAGTCCAAGGGACTCTCAAGAGTCTTCTCCAACACCACAATTCAATTTCCATTCATATTCCTGATATTTCTGTGTGATACTTTTGCATACTCTCCATCTTGTATTTTGTTTCACCCACCACTAGCCCTTGGTAGCAGCAGGTCTGGGGGACCATGCTGTGTCCTGTGTCTTAATTTCCAACTTCTGATTGGATCAGAAATGGGTATCTGACCCAAGGGTGACTCATCCAGTAAGCGGCCTGCAAGAAATCAGTCTTGCACTCTTGAGAATGTGAACTAGGTGACCCCAAATCTCTGATACCTAATGGATTGTGCTAGGAGATGGTTGCCATGTGGATTGCGTGCTGGTGGAGGAATCTATGGTAATACAGAGTGGTCCAACAGAGAGACACTATGGTTCCTGGTAGTCAGAGACCAGGTTAGTTTCCATTAGGGACTGGCTGCATTTAGATGTTGCATCCATGAGATTACCTTTTAAATTCTTAAAATCTTTTCTCCTCCTTCATTTGATTTGATTGACTTGATAATTTTTCTGAGGTCTAATATTTCATGAATAGAATACATCAGTGAACTACCAAAGTAGACAGAAAAATTACCCCATGACAACTTGTGATCGTTTATACTATATCTTGTATTCCTATCTCAGCCTGTGATACATAGTCAATAATTCTTTATTAAATATATATGAAATAATAGTGCTTAGTGCAGATGGCATCTAATTATTTCTCCTTGCTTTATAGCTATATATAGTGATATGTCTTCTTCAAGCTTGATTATTTTATATTTTGAAAATGTCTAATGTATGAATCAGCATTTGAATAATATAAGCGATTTACTGATATTTCACTGCAGACAATCCAGTACTTCCACTGTTCTTTTTTTTTTGTCATAACCTAGTTGTTTGCTCAGCTTCAGAGATGCACCTTTAACAATTCAAGTCTTTGTTAAGGGTGATAGACTAACCTAGTTAGCGCATCAAAGGGAATGTTTAAAAATAAATGAAATAGAATATAAACAGTTTTTGAAAGAGGAGAACAAGCAAAGAAATCTGTGATATTGTTTCCTACTTCTTGGGGATACTAGGGAGAGGTAAGAGAGTTTCTTAGAGGAAATGAAACAAAATCAAAATTGATTTTACTTTTTACATAAATGGTAAAAGTGACATATGTATAGTTTGGTTCTCCTCTGTCTTTATTGGTGTTAGGATACTGCTCCGTCTTATTCCTAAGACCTCTTTCCTGATAGGTACATTGACAGTATAAACTTAATGAAAAGATGTTGTCAGTATGCATTTAACAGCAGCCAACTTGGTTGTGTTGTCGTTTACTCACTAAGTAGCATCCGACTCTTTGTGATCCCATGGGCTGTAGCCTCCCAGACTCCTCTGTCCAAGGGATTTCCCAGGCAAGAATACTGGGGTGCTGCGAATTCCTTCTCTAGGAGATCTTCCCATCCCAGGGATTGAACCCACATGTTCCCTTGGCAGGTGGATTCTTTACCACTGAGCCATGTTGGAATCCCGTAACAGCCAACTTTATAATAGTCGATCAAATTATAAATCATGAATGAGAGTGCTGAGAATTTGGAGAATCTGGAGATAACTATTGTTGCAGCAAAACAACTTCTGCATCCTTGTATCTAAAGTAGCTGCAAATAGGAACATTGTGACACCCGAAACTCTTCACAGACTTTCCTATGTACCTTTATCACCTTCCTCTCTCAGCTTTCCTAACTAGTTTCAGTCCAAACCTTTCCAAACTGTTGGATCCTTCTCTCCTACCACCTGAAAGTTTCCATACCTTCTCCCTAGTTCACCAGAACCATGCAGTTCTGAGTCAGGAATCTGATTTATATAGAGGCGGGCCTTTATTTAGGGTCACGACCAAATCCTTCTGGCTAATAGCCCACTTCTGCCCGCTGGCCAGTCACAGCTGCTTGCTTCTCACCCCCTCCTCAGGCTGAGACCTGTCGAGTTGGTCTTAGTTTGGCTGCCCTAGGAGCCACCTGGTCCCCTGCCAGAATGGGGCCCTGCAATGCCCATGCCCTTGTCGGATTACTCATAGACCCCTGGAGCAGCATTTTAACTCATCTCTTTGCCTGCATCTTGCCCAGATCCATCCTCCATGTAGTATGAGACTGAACTGCATAACACATAGATTAGAACTATGTCCGTGAAGGACCCATCCTCACTTCTGCCATTTCATAAATACGCCACTTTCCCATCTTACATGGCCATAGGCATGTGATCCCTTCCATCTAGAATAACCGACCTCTCTTACCTGGTCACCTGCTCCTATGGATCTAGTTACCCAGCACAGAGCTCACATTCTTTTGAATGTCTTCTTGATCAGTTCAGATTGGACCAGGTGTCCCTTCCTTTGGAAATCATTGGAATGATTGACAAAGTTTTGGAGATGGGACTCTATTAACCCTCCTAGAAATTCCTTGCCTCAGAATGTTTTAGCTTTCAGCCAGAGCACATGGGAGATTTTCTCAAGTGCTATTGAGGAATTTGACAGATGTCTACTTAAATTTAAAACAGATGTCTACTCATATCCCTTGATTCTCATAGGCAGCCAGAACATAATGGGAGAGAAATCAAGCTCAAATAATAGTTGGGTCAATCTTATATTCAGTTCAGTCACAGAGTCGTGTCTGACTCTTTGTGACCCCATGAACTGCAGCACGCCAGGCCTCCCTGTCCATCACCAACTGCCAGAGTCCACCCAAACCCATGTCCATTGAGTTGGTGATGCCATCCAACCATCTCATCCTCTGTCGGCCCCTTCTCCTCCTGCCTGCAATGTTTCCCACCATCAGGGTCTTTTCAAATGAGTCAGCTCTTCACATCAGGTGGCCAAAGTATTGAGTTTCAGCTTCAACATCAGTCCTTCCAATGAACACCCAGGACTGATCTCTTTTAGGATGGAATGGTTGGATCTCATGGCAGGAAAAGGGACTCTCAAGAGTCTTCTCCAACACCACACTTCAAAGCCATCAATTCTTTGGCACTCAGCTTTCTTCACAGTCCAACTCTCACATCCATTCATGACCACTGGAAAAACCATAGCCTTGACTAGAAGGACCTTTGTTGACAAAGTAATGTCTCTT